CGGCTCACCGCAACCTCCGCCTCCTGGGTTCAGGGAATTCTCCTGCCTCAGCCTCCTGAGTAGCTGGGATTACAGGCACGCACCACCATGCCCAGCTAATTTTTTGTATTTTTAGTAGAGACGGGGTTTCACCATGTTGACCAGGATGGTCTCGATCTGTTGACCTCGTGATCCACCCGCCTCGGCCTCCCAAAGTGCTGGGATTACAGGCTTGAGCCACTGCGCCCGGCCTTATTGTCTATTTTTTAATTGGTTTAATTTCCGTTTTTAGGGATTAAAAACTTTCTCCTTTTTCTGCTGAAAACAAGACCCAATTAACAGAAACATAAATAGTGATTTACATAACAATAACTCTTTTGGCATTAGAAAAGCGGGGCATTTGGCCTTCTTTAAAGGAAAAGTTTGTTTTCTGTAGGATACATCAATATTTTTATCTTAATATTTTATAATCTTTGCATTATTTTCTGAAATCTGAATTTGAATACAAAATATATTATCACATTCCTTTTCAGCATGGCTAAAAAGGCCTCTTGATTTTTATAGTTTAACCCAACCTTACTTTGCAATGGCACCATCTGCTACTTCCTGGTATTTGCCAGCCACAGAGACTGGGCTTCTCAATATTCCCCAAATTAGCCTTGTTTTTCAATGTTTGTGTTCATACCACTTTTTTCCTTTCCTGAGTGTTCCTTTCCACTTCTTAGCCTGCTCCATTTCTGTCAGTTTTCTCTATGAACACCAGCTTGGCTCCACCACACAGAAGCAGTCACTCTGTGTTCCTACCATGCTCTGCTCTCCCACACATAGTGTCTGACAGTGACTTTTTACTCTGCGCACACTCTGAGGAGACCTATGACATCTATGCGGGTGCCTCAGTAGTCTCTGCATGTGATGTGTGTGTGCGTGTGGTAAGTGGCATTTGGGTAGGCTGACTTCTTGGCCTTCCAGCCCAAGTGTTAAATAATGACAGGGCTCAGAAAGTGCTGCTCTTGGCATCTGAGAAAACAGCAGAAGCAGGAAGGTCTCTCTGACTCTTCCCTGCTCCTCTCTCATGAAGCAAGCCCTAAAAGAATTATCCAACCTTCTTCTGAAGAGGTCCTCATTCAAAAGGTGCCTTCCTTAGACCCTGAGAAAAGGAATGTCCTTATCATACTTCACAACTGTTCCTGTTTGATCAAACCAAAGAATAAATATATGCAGGTTTCCCTGTTTTATTGGGTCTTCATTACTGAAATCTCCTGTATCATGTAAAACGTACATTAAATAAACATGTATGCACTTCTCTTGTTAACCTGTCTTTTGCTATAGGAGCATCAGCTTGAACCTAGTGATGAGTGAGAAAAGATGTTTTGGCCCCTACAACAGAGTAAATCTATTTGTTTTTTTCTACACAGGGTTTCCATAGAAAACTACTATGTTTAAAGAAAGAGTTCATTTTTTTTTTAAAGCCTAAAAACCACTTTTTTAGAGAAAAGAGATGAACTCTGGAGTCAAAGAAATCTTGGTTGGCATTTAAGCCTCACCACTCATCAGTGGGGTAACCTTGGTGACTCATTGAGTCTCTCTGGCCTTAGTTTTCCATTTGAAATATTGGATGAATAATACCTAGTGCACAGGATCATTGTTAAGATTAAATAGAATTCTGTGTATAATGTGTCTGGCCTGTTAATGAATGCTAACTCCTTGCTTCCCCTTTCAGCATACAACACGTATAATTTTAACAATGTGTTTATATTCCCCACTAGAATATACAGGCAGGGAGGGACGCAAAGCACAGTGTCTGGCCTAGGCCAGGCCCTCCATAAATGTTTGATAAATGAATAAGTAGCTCTGATTTTTTTCCAAATTGCTTTGGAAGTTGTGGTGGCTTTTTACCTGCTTTATGTGAACCAATCTGTGTTCAACTAGACACATACCTGATTCAAATGGAAAGCTGAATGAAGTTGTAGTCATTCAACATCTCTCACCCCCAACTTAGTTTAGGTTCCAAATGATCATACTTTCTAGAATTCTAAATGGAGACTTGAGGTGAAAAAGGTATTATTTCTTCATTTTTGTATCCATTTGATTTATATATTCATTCCATTTAGATTATTTTGCTCTTTGAAGTTCCAGGGCACATTCTCCTTGGTTTCATCACGGTTAGTTTTCAAATAAAAATGTATTTGTTGAGCATCTCTCTATTTCTGTTTTCCATCTCTCAAAGTTAATCAGGCTCAATGGTGACTTGCTAAGTTATGAAGTCATTAGATGCTATGGGTATACTTAGAAAATCAACAAACAAAAAATACAATCTTAGTTACTGCTATGGAAAATCTATGAAAAATAAATAAATTATGATTGGATAATAGCTTTTTATTCCATAAAGAATGAGATGTTTGATGAAAGAGGAGGGTTTTTCTTTCATTTCTAGATTGAAAGTTTCTGTATTTTCAAATATAGAGTTATTGTCCCAGAAGATACAATAGTTATTTCAAGTTCTTGTTTTTCTCATTTAGAGACTTTTATTAACCATGAAAAGCTTTCTCTGGGCAATGCTTTTGATTCTGCACAAAGATAGCCATATGTATATTTTTTGACATTTTTATGCTGAGGTAAAGAAGTGAAAGAAGATTTAATGTAACTGCTTCAGAAGTAAGTATATAAAAGAGGGTATCACTGAAAAGTAACCCTTTACATCATTTTGGTGATTAAAGTTCAGGGGAGGATCTGGCTTTGCCTGGAATATTCAGTAAAAACTATAGAATTTGGAGTCTTGAAGAGTTACTAGGAATTTGCAGGGTGAGGAAGTTGTGAAAGTGTTTTAGGTAGGGGGATATCTTCCACCAGTTGATGTTGGGGTTGTCTTTGATTTAACAGCATTACAATGTTGAAAATAGATGCGATGGGTGATGGTCAGTCTTTGCTCTTTGCAGAAAAGTACATGTGAAGAGAGTAGAAAGAATTGGCAATTTCTCCTTCCTTCCCCTTCTTTCCTATCCTGGAACAGGTTATCCAGCAAAACAGGCTGGGCAAAGTTCCAGGTTGCTACTAGAATATTTCTAAAGATGTTAGGTGACTGCCACTCTTAAAGAACATCTTTGCTCTGCAACTTCCTATTCCTGAATTACCTATAAAAATAGAAAAACTGCAATTTACACACCAGACTTTCTAAAAAATGATTTGGAGGAGACACTTGGCCTTGCGTAAACCCAAATCTTCAGTCCTTTTTAGGATCTACAACTTGTTATTTATCTTGCTCCTATTTACGCCACATGTCTTTATCTCACCCTTCAACTATAAGATGTGGGAGCAGAGTCCACATCTTATACTGCTTTATATTTTTCTATGAACAATTTCCTATAATACAGCACTAAAATCTGGATAGAGCCTCTTAAATACCTACTAGATTGCTTCTTTGATTTGGCCTCATGGGATGAGAGAAACAGCTGAAAAATATGTATAAGGCTAGTAAAACTGGAGCTATAATGGTGGAAGTTGGTGTGTGTTGAATATTTCTCATTGGTTTCCAGACCCACTCTCCACTCTTCTCTATCCTGCTTTGACTAACCTTTGTGAACTATATCAAATGGCTCCCTTGCCTTCTGGCTTCCATTTGGGTTCAGCCAATATGAGGCATTGGAAAGAAACAGGAGGGGGAGGAGAATGAGGTTAGGGCATTTACTTCCCCAGCTCTCTCTCTGCAGGGCCTCCTGGCTCCTTTGCTCTACCTGCATCCACAAGTTCTTCTCAGCATTTTTCTTCTCACCTACGGCTACAACCCTCTTCAGGTTCTAGTGATTGTTTGCTATCCTTGCCCCTTAAGATATGGAGAAGGGAATGGCTTGCAATTATTTTAGCTTTGGAATGGTTCACTATCACTTGCTGATTTCCTGAACACAGCTCATAGTATGCTAAACAGTCCCTCCATTAACCTCCCTTCTTACTTACTCATCTATATCCAGCTGGGAGTCTAACTGATGCAGGTGGTAGCCGTAACTTTCTGTGTAACTCTGAGAATAACACTTTGCATTTTTATTTTTGTTATTGTAAAGTGAAAATATAGTCTAATTTAATGTGGATGTTTACCTCTCGGACAAAAACAGACACGCAACCTTCTGAAGTGGGTGCCTGAAAAGACCACATATAATTTTAAATTACGACCTTCGGTAATTTGTGAACCAAACGAAAGTTCTTACTCAGCACTGTATTTTTATAAACTTGTTTATGTAACAAAGATGTTACCTGCCCAATAATTTAATGACCTGTTATTAACCAGCTGTGCTTATTCTAACAGATTGTATTAGGAGCTTAATTGACTTAGCCCTCCCATACAAGATAAAACTTGCTCAGGAACAGGTTTGACTATTTCAGTCTTTATGTAAATGAGAGTGTGAATTAAATGTTTGTGTAAGAAAGAAGTGATAGTCACGCTGACTCCACGTTTTTTCCCATTAGTGGCAGAGTAATAAGAAAAATCACAATACTATTAGAAATGACAGAAATATATGATCCCTCGGTAGCTCTTGGTTTAGGGAAGAATAAAGTAATCTTAAGATATTACTGCTTTATGATTTTTAAGAAGGAATTTTCCTTTTCAGCTAAGAACATTCATTCATCAGATATTTTCTGTTAAGATGCATTTTTACATTCATGTTTCTGCAAGTAAAAGTAGTATCTATTGAGTTGGTGCAAAGGTAATTGCGGTTTTTGCTATTATTTTCAATGACAAAAACCTCAATTACTTTTGTACCAACCCAATAATTGACAGCCATGTTAATTTGACAGAAGTCTTGAGTTTCTTTTTTAAGATTGTTCTCTGATTATCACCAGGCAGTGTACACTTTTTGAGGCATATTGAGAAAAATATTTTTCTAAAATTTTCTTTCTTCATTTTTCTCTTAGAGTTGATTTATTCTTACATTAATAAGGAAATCTGTCATCACAGCTGGAAAATACTATAATAGGAGCTTTAAAAACTAAGGTAAATGAATATGAGAATTTTCTATACAGTTTTAGAAATAGCATAACAAACTGTCTGAACAATCATATGAAATTCATGCACCAATCTGTTCTATCAGAGTATATTTGAATGTCCTCTCTGTTTTAGGCATTGACCTAAGCCCTAGGAATACCTCTTAGTAAAAGCCAAAGTTATGGCAATATCATGCGTAATCGGTAGTAATGTTCAAATATGTAACAACTCCTGCAACATAGTCCCCTGCAACCCAAAGAGAAGCCAGCAGTAAACAACAGATTCAGCTGGGCCAGTGCATTCCAGCGGAGGGTCCCCAATTCCTAACCCTTCTTTGTTTAATCACTTGGGCCATTCACTGGGGACTTTTATTTGCCCCTTGGTTGAGATCAGGATAGCTGGTTCTCCTTTCCTTGTCACTATGTTCTCTGCTCCTGTGATTCTGAGCTGTGCCAAGCCCTTTCACCAGGTGCTGGTCTAAATTTTGGGTCCTCAGCTTCCTCAGTGTCAGGATATCACCTTGATTTCTTGGTCACATATCTGATTCGGGGTTCTGATTTTTTTGTAGTGCTGAAGTCTCTGTTTATCTCCCTCCTCTGATCTTATACAGCACTTTTTCTACTTTTCTTATGATGTTTGCTTCCCTTGGTTATTTAAATAAAGCTCTTATCACGCCTTTAGATTGTAAGCTCTTTGATAACAAGAAACAATTTTTTTTTTGAGACGAAGACTCACTCTGTCGCCCAGGCTAGAGTGCAGTGGCGCAATCTCAGCTTCTTTCTACATTGTCTGTATCCACAACAATTCATATAAAGCCTCATACATATTAGGTACTCAATAGTTTTTTAAATGAATGCATATACATGGCTCTGTTCTTGCTCATGGCATTCAACCTTTTTATCAGCAACTTAGAAAAAAGTGGCAAGACTTGCTTTATCAAGCCAGGTGCAGTGGTGTGCCTGTATTCCCAGCTACTCCAGGGGTTGAGATGGGAGGATCCCTTGAACCCAGGAGTTTAAATTCAGCTTGGGCAATACAAGGAGAACTTGTTCCTTTTAAAAAAAGAAATAAAAGAAAGACATGCCTATCACATTTGTAGATGACATGAAGTTATACAATTGCTGCTAATTTAAATTGAATATACAGTGTGTTGATGTGAAGTTGTGAAGTGCTGGAATAAAACTATTTTTACAGAGATAAAGGTAAAATGTAAAACTTACGTAAAAATATCCACTATAAAAAATCCTAGTTTAGCAGCAATTCATGAGCTAAAAGACCTAGGAATTCCAATTATAGACTCTGGTGGCTAAACTAGGTAACCTGATCGATAGGAATATAATTTCCAGACAGTGGTGCCACATATTGTGCTGGGTTTAACACATAGCTTGAGCAGGAATGCTTGTATTGGTTATTTGATCATCTTAACATGTTTTTTACCCTTACTTCCAATTTATTGTTTTTCAATGAACTGTGCAAACTGTTGTGTTCACTGGATGGCAACTTCTGTTCTTGCAGGCAACCTAAATGAAAAAATGAAATAGTAGTCAGCCAGCTGATTATTGAGTGAGGATAAAACAGTAGTTATCTTTGATGACATTAGACTTGTGTATGTCAAGCTCAGAGAGGTTAGGTAATAAGGTCCAGGAAATAGTTTGTAAATGACAGAGACTTAATTGAATGATAGCTTAGCTGTCCTCTCCACCCCAGAGATGTTTCTATGGAGGGGATAATTTTCCAAGGCTTTACCTCTCACTGGGCTTGGGCTTAGGGGTGGTAATGTCTTTCTTCCCCTTTGGGGGACTCAACACCCCTTGTTGGGTTTCCCAAAGCTGTCCTCATTTCTATAAAGAGCCTTGTCATCAAGTTCTTTTCAAAATTCCAGTTTCTTTTAGGACATGAATTGATACCATAACTTCTGGGATTCATCAGGCTATAAAATTGTAGAAGGGAATAAGTTGGTGTTTCTTAATTATTATACACGTATCTGTATTGAAGTATTTGTAATAATAATCTTTTAAGTATTTCTGTGTGCCAGACATTTTGCATTCCTTATTTCTAATTATCAAATTATAAGACAAGCTAAGTATTATATTTTGCATTTTATAGATGAGAAACTTGAAGCTCAGAGAGGTTAGGTAATATGGTCCAGGAAATAGTTTGTAAATGACAGAAACTTAATTGAATCTAATTTCAAGGTCCACATTGCTGTTCCACTACACATACCATCTCTCTTATCTCTAGCATGCATATTGGATTCTCTTTTGCTTGTCTGAGTACTTAGCTGGAATCTGGTAAGTTTTTCGAAGGTAAGGACTATCTTGTATTCTTTTACCTCCACTGCCTAGCATGGTGCCTGGTTAATGACAGATATATGATGCATTTTTGAATGAGTGAATAGAGGCAAAATCCCACATAGTCTTTAAACTGCATTTCTATTCTTTCTGAATATCTGTAGCAGGTCTTTGATTTTATATTTCTTTCTCCATTAAATTCTTTTATGCTCCTTTTCCCTCTTAATCACTGACTCTCATTTTTATGCACTTGTTTTTTTCCCTATATGCATTCCTTGCTGGAAATACAGACATGTCATGCATCAGAGTCAAAGTTGCATCTGCCAACTAGGAAATGGTGTAAAATAAAAAATGTGAATAATGATACTATCTGTTTGGTGGGACTGGGGTTAAGGGTAAAGGAAAGACAGTGTTAAAAGCTTATATTCACTCACACTCTCTCTTAACACCTATTGTTTTATTTGGATACACTACAATTCTATCTTTGCTACTAGTAAAATAAAGAGATTCTTCTTCATATATTTTAGCATATATACAGCAAAGGCATTGAGTTTAGTGGTTATAGGTTATTAACTATAAAGAGGAGCTGGTACCACTCCTTCTGAAACTATTCCGAACAATCCAAAAAGAGAGAATTCTTTCCAAATCATTTTATGAGACCAACATCATCCTGATACCAAAACCTGGCAGGAACTCAACAAGAAAAGAAAACTTCAGGCCAATATCCATGATGAACATCAGTGCAAAAATCTTCAATGAAATACTGGCAAACCAATTGCAACAGCACATCAAAAAGCTTATGCATCATGATCAAGCAGGCTTCATCCCAGGTATGCAAGGCTAGTTCAACATACACCAGTCTATAAATGTAATCCATCACATAAACAGAACCAAACACAAAAACCACATGATTATCTCAATAGATGCGGAGAAGGCCTTTGACAAAATTCGACAGCCCTTTATGCTAAAAACTCTCAATAAACTGGGTATCGACGGAGCGTATCTCAAAAAAATGAAAGCTATTTATGACAAACCCACAGCCAGTATCATACTGAATGGGCAAAACCTGGAAGCATTCCCTTTGAAATCTGTCACTGGACAAGATTGCCCTCTCTCACCACTCCTATTCAACACAGTATCAGAAGTCCTAGCCAGAGTGATCAGGCAAGAAAAAGAAATAAAGGGTATTCGGTTAGGAAAGGAGGAAGTCAAATTGTCTCTATTTGCAGACAACATGATTGATTGTATATTTAGAAGACCCCATCGTCTCAGCCCAAAATCTCCTGAAACTGATAAGCAACTTCAGCAAAGTCTCAGGATACAAAATCAATGTGCAGAAATCACAAGCATTCCTATGCACCAATAACAGACTTAAAGAGAGCCAAATTAAGAACGAATCGCCATTCACAATTGCCACAAAGAGAATAAAATACCTGGGAATACAACTAATAAAGGATGTAAAGGACCTTCTGAAGGAAAACTACAAACCACTGCTCAGGGAAATAAGAGAGGGCACAAACAGATGGAAAAACATTCCATGCTCATGGTTAGGAAGAATCAATATTGTGAAAATGGCCATAGTGCCCAAAGTAATGTATAGATTTAACGCTATCCCCGTCAAGCTACCTATGACCCTCTTCACAGAACTGGAAAAAACCACCTTAAACTTCATATGGAACCAAAAGAGAGCCTGCGTAGCCAAGTTAATTCTAAGCAGAAAGCAACAAAGCTGGAGGCATCACGCTACCTGACTTCAAACTATACTACAAGGCTACGGTAATCAAAACACCATGGTACTGGTACTAAAACAGAGATATAGACCAATGGAACAGAACAGATGCCTTGGAGGTAACACCACACATCTACAACCATCTGATCTTTGACAAACCCAACAAAAACCAGCAATGGGGAAAGGATTCCCTATTTAATAAATGGTGTTGGGAAAACTGGCTAGCAGTGTGCAGAAAGCAGAAACTGGACCCCTTCCTGACACGTTGCACTAAAATTAACTCCAGATGGATTAAAGACTTAAACATAAGACCAACACCATAAAAACCCTAGAAGAAAACCTAGGCAAAACCATTCAGGGCATAGGCATAGGCAAGGACTTCATGATTAAAACACGAAAAGCATTGGCAACAAAAGTCAAAATAGACAAATGGGATCTAATTAAACTCCAGAGCTTCTGCACGGCAAAAGAAACAATCATTAGAGTGAACTAACAACCAACATAATGGGAAAATATTTTTGCAATCTACCCATCTGACAAAGGGTTAATATCCAGAATCTACAAAGAACTAAAACAGATTTATAAGAAAAAAACAAACAAACCCATTCAAAAGTGGGTAAAGGACATGAACAGACACCTTTCGAAAGAAGACATATATAAAGCCAACAAACATATGAAAAAATGCTCATCATCACTGGTCATTAGAGAAATGCAAGTCAAAACCACATTGAGATACCATCTCACGCCAGTTAGAATGACGATCATTGAAAATTTGGAGACAACTGATGCTGGAGAGGATGTAGAGAAATAGGAACACTTTTACACTGTTGGTGGGAGTGTGAATTAGTTCAGCCATTGTGGAAGACAGTGTGGCAATTCCTCAAGGACCAGGAAATAGAAATTCCATTTGACCCAGCAATCCAATTACTGTGTATATATCCAAAGGATTATAAATTGTTCTATTATGAGGATACATGCACACATATGTTCATTGTGGCACTGTTTACAATAGCAAAGACCTGGAACCAACCCAAATGCCCATCGATGATAGACTAGACAAGAAAAATGTGGCACATATACACCATGGAATACTATGTAGCCATAAAAAAGATGAGTTCATGTCTTTTGTAGGGACATGGATGAATCTGGAAACCATCATTCTCAGTGAGCTGACATAAGAACAGAAAATCAAACACCACATGTTCTTACACATAGGTAGGTGTTGAACGATGGGAACACATGGACATAGGGAGTGGAGCATCACACACTGGGGTTTTGTCTTTGAGATTCTGGTATGAAAACAACAGAATCAGAAGACATGGAACCTTAAAATGTTACAACTAAGTAAAGAGGTATTAGATTACAGAAAAAATTTGATTTTTTAAAACTTTTTGACTTTATTCTTAAATCTTTCCCTCACCTTGTTATTTTGAAATTTTTCAAGTCAACAGAATGATTGAAAGAATGGTAAAGTGAATATTCATATACCATTCTCCTAGATTTAATTATTAACATTTTGTCATAGATGTTTTATTTCCATTTGAAATAGTAACTTTTGTTTTTAAGAATTTAGGGCACAGAGCTAATAAAAATTTCACATTTGTTTTGTTGTCTGTAGCTACAGCTAGAGTTATAAGTTCAAGGAGAGGAGGAACTAGCCTGTTCATTTCTGCTTCTCCAGCATCTAACATAATGATTGGCTGTAGTAGGAGCTCAATAAATTCTCACTGACTGATATACTGAGTTGTTCTTTACACACTTGGCCCTTGCAATATGCAGAAATCACTCAAAGCTTGAAAGAAACTTGATTTGATCTAAAGTAGAATGTTTAAATGTGTACTCAAGTATTGAGGGGAGTGTCTGAATCCTTCTATTTCTGTCAGTACTTACTACAATGCCTTGCCTCAGGTAGCTGCTCATTAAATATTCCTTGGATGTCAGAACAAATAAACTTGGTAGCAATATTCAAGACAATCCCAAAGCTGATCAAGCTTTGGAAAATAAGCCAAAATAATAAAAATGTGAAGATTTGAAGAGTGAGCTTATTCAGACTGGGATAATTCATAAGCGGACTTGGTATCTTAGCTTATCTCTGAAGAAAAAAACAATGAATATTGAAAAGAAAAAAAGGAATATTCACTTAAAAGCAACTTTATGGGAATTCTTAGACATAAAGGAGACTTTTTAAAGAGTCAAGGCTGTTTAAATTTTGAAATTGGGTTGTTTACAGAGGTAATTCTCTTCTGCAGATCGACTTCTCTTCCATAATCTATTGCAAACTAGAAAGTTTTTGGGATCTTTTAATAGGTTTCTGTCTAGAATGACTACATCTAATTGTGCCAAATAGATAAAAAGAATGTCAAAAGGATATTTTACCATTGCTTACATAATAAAGTATCTTAGCATATAATTCAAGATCCTTTGCAAAGCTAACTCCCAGCTGACTTCATAACTTTACCATTCCTGTCCCACATCTAGACTGGGTTGTGGTCCAGAGTTTTTTGACTGGTTTCTATGGAACTCTAGTGTTCCTTAGCATAAAGCATCTAATGTTAAATTTTCTTCATGGTGAAACAAGTTTGGGAAATGTTTAATACCATGTCCCTAACCTCCCACTGGATTTTTTTTTTTTTTTCTCAGAGTCTTGCTTGCTCTGTTGCCTGGGCTGGAGTGCAGTGGCATGATCTCAGCTCACTGCAACCTCTGCCTCCCACGTTCAAGCTATTCTTGTGCTTCAGCCTGCTGGGTAGCTGGGATTACAGGCATATACCACCACACCTGGCTACTTTTTGTATTTTTAGTAGAGATGAGGTTTTGCCATGTTGGCCAGGCTGGTCTCAAACTCATGACCTCAAGTGATCCTCCTGCCTTGGCCTCCCAAAGTCCTGGGATTTCAGGCTTAAGCCACCACACTCAGCCCCCTTATTGGATATTCACGAGATACATTAATCCAATTAGAGTCTGAAAAATTCTACAGCAAGTAGCCATTCTAATCATTTACCAAACTTACTTGACCAAGAAACTTTTGGAGTGGCAGAATTATGAGGGACATTTGTACTCCCCAGAATACAGTTTGCAGAGTGCTGCCTAACCATCATAATGCTTAGAATTCCTTGAATGTTGCTCATGCCATTTCTGCCAAGAATAATTTAATTTACTCAGAAAAAGCTGCTGTACCCAAAAATATATTTGTAAAAAAGCCACGCAAGATGGGGAGAACTTATGGAATGAATTCAGTAATTTAAACCCATGTCTACCTGCTCTATGAGGTGTGTAATAAACTCTACTTTGTAGTTGGAAGCATAACCTGAATGTATAGGTGTTCTGTATACTTTCTTTATTTTTGACTAAATTAAATCTCAGGATTTTGTATCATTTACATTTTAGTCTTCTACATAGAAATTTTCAGAATCAAGAGACATGTGCAAACAATTTATCTGTGGAGTGATGGAGTGATATTTGAAAAAAATCATCTTCATGAAGTAGATAGTATTTGATATGTTCAAAAGTCTTACTCGCTAAGTTTTGCAGTTTTGCAACATTTATTCAAATGAGTGCCAATGATTGAAAGAGCAGCATACATTTAAATTAATAAAACAAAATGAAAATCTTTCTTGGTGAACAGAGATGACCTTTGTTGACATATATTTGTGTGCTTATTTAGAAAAGTAGCAAATGGATGAATAATTTGTATTGAGTACTCATTACTTTGTCTTTTTCTCTAAGATGTCATAAATTGTCTCATTCATTCATTCACTAGCCTTTTCAACTTATTGTTGGGAGTCATTTCCACAGATTTCTAATGTTTCTGCCTGTCTTGTGAGCAGAGGCACTGACGGCCTTTTTTCCTGAATAATCTTTTAATTAAAAGATATTTGATAGTGAACACAAGATAGAGATAGTATCTACTTCTGGACACAAACTTCTGGAGCAGATTTGGCCCAGCATACTATAAAT